TCCACCCTGTCTGTCGGTCGGTCGGTTGGTGTGTACAGTCAGACTGCTGCTGCAGGCACACATTCAGTGCTCCGGTTCACCCTCCTCCTCCTTGCGTCTCCACGGCAACGCAGGTCACGCACAACATCACCTCAGCCGCAAACATCCGTCCAGTCCAATAGTTCATGACCTGCTAATCCCCCTCTCACGAGACAGACGCTGCTTTCTTCAGAGTGACTTAAAGGAGAAGTTCAGTTTTTTTTTTTTAGTTTAGGAACTCGCAGTAAAGTGCTAATCATGAAACTGGTTTCTTCTTAAAGGGAAAGTTCAAAATGTTTCAGAAACACAGATCATTCAGGTTTGGGATTTTTACAAAACCAAACCAAGCTTTTAGAAAGTTACAAATCTATTTGATCATCAATAAAACTCCCACTTAAAGGGAATGTTGGATCTTTTAAAGGGAAGGTTTGTGATGTGAGGCAGTCAAGCCTCTTTATCAATAAAAAAATCCTGCTTTTAAAGGGAAGTTATCTCGACTTTAACACAGAAATCGTTTCATTAAAGGGAAGTTCTGGAAGTTAAATTTAGTGCACATTTTAAAGAAACACAGGTGGAGCTAATTCTCCAGTCAGTGCCATTAAACCACTGCAGAAGAAGAAAAGATGTTGTGTGTTGTGTGATTGTTAAAAGAGCTCAAATGATGGAAAACCATGTGCTAGAAAACATGATGGAAACCTGACATATCTGTCTGTTTCATGGTTTAATGAGAGGAAGGTTATATGCTTGTCATTGCTCCAACAACATCTGATGGTTTCAGCTCTTTATGCTTCAAGGACTCTATCATTAGCCATTTTTGCACGGAGATGGCGCTATAGAGCCGCTACAAAGTCCCTTCTTCATGCCTTCTTTGCATACTTACACAAAACGACTTTGGCAGCATTTCACTCTATTGTGTGATTACAGATTGCATCCCCGCATCCTGGAGGCAAAAGAGGTGTGACGGGCAAATGCTGTTCTTCTTCTTTGAGTTAGCTGTTAACTGCTAGTAGCTACTTTTTTTAATCTCCCGCAGTAAGTGAACGTGTAACACCTTGTCAAAATGTCACAGCCATCATGCTTATACAGACACCATTTCGGCGCTGTTACTACCTACCATGTAGGCTTAACGGCAAGACAACTCTGTCCTACCATTACACAATTGTGCCTTACATACAGCACAGCGATGCAGCATAACGGCGCGATATTCTTGCCTTGAGCAGGCAGTGTAAAAGGGGTTACTGTCCCTTTTAGTTATTTTGTTCTTCGGTCATTGGTTTCTTTTTCTCTTTCCTGATCCTGCACCAGTATCAGCCATAACCAAAATGAAACGTCAAAAATACAGTTCTTTAAAGAAAAATCTCCTCTTGCTTCCTATTAAATGGTTAACATATGACTTGCTCTCTCTGAGAAAATGTCAACACAAGCTCTTCCAGAGGCTGTGTCGTAAATCGTTTTGTTTGGTTTGTTGTGAAATCTCAACCAAAAACAGGCATAAAAAATAACTTTACAGAAATAACCACAACCTCACCAATTATCAAAATGTCACACCCATCCTGCTGCCTGTCCTGTTTATACAGAAACCGTTTCAGCACTGTTACTACCTCCTCCGGCTTAAAGGTGGAGATCACTCTCACAGCACACTGGGGTGGCATAAGGCCACAATATTTATTATTATTATTATTTATTTACTAATTCTGTTTCTGTTTCTTTGTCAATGCGTCAACTTTTACACCTCAGCCTAAGATTAAAAGCTTTCTGATATATCTTGACTTGCTAATTCCCATCACTTCCACTAAGTTTTTTTCCTCAAATTAAAAAAATAGCTTTTAAGACAAAAACACAGGTGGATTAAAACACACCTTAAAATGCTGATTCACCCTTCTTTTAAAGGGATGGCATGGGATTTTAACAAATCTACATCTCTGATCCTTGATGATGCCCTCTTTTGTATTAGAGAAGGTTTGAATATTTATAAGTGTAACTTGGCACCAGCCTCACTGACTGTTGTACCTGTAACCACACCCTACAGTGATGTCATAGTAAGAAGTTCAACTGAGGACAAGGTTTCAAGGAGGTGTTAAGTTCCTCTTTAGGACACTTACAGTTTGAGGACATTAAAAAATACCTTCTGTCATTTTGTTTTAGTATCCAAATATGTAATTAGTCAATTAATCAACTAATCACGTTTATCATAAACCAACTAATCTCCTAAAGCTTTAAGATGTTGATTTTTTTTCCATGAACAAAGCTTCGTCTTAAAGGGAATGTTTTAGCATTGTACCGACTAATGCACCAAAGCTATTAAAAAGGTTAAATTTGAGGAGGCAATTATAGGCACCATTCATTCAGCCCACCCTAATACTGATTATTAACCAACACTGTGTCCCAGTTTTATATTTCTACTAATTCTTGAGGATTTCACATGTTCCCCTTGGAATAATAACAAAATAAAAATCGCCCTGTTTTGTCTCTGGCGGTCAAGGACACGATCGTCCCAATATGCAACATGGAACAGAATTGAAGGAGCTTTCATTACCTAAAAAAAGTAAAAAGCTGTCATATGAGTCATGAAACAAGTTCAATAAGTTTAGGAAATCCTTGAAAAGGTTTTCAAAAGTTTTTAACTTAAAATTGAATATTGACAAAAGAAGAAAAAAAAAAAAGAATTCAATTATAACACATTGTATTCATCGGCAGAGTTTGATCAGTTGTCATTGATGGATCTGCTGACAGAAGCTGTTGTGATTTCTTGTCCATGTTGGCTCTTAACTTTTAAAAGTCAGTTGATGAAGATCGTGTTACCTCTGAAAGCTTCACAAAAAGCTGTGTGTTTGGACTGTATTCTACAAAGTCTTCACTTTGGAAATTTGGCATGTTTGAAATTTTTAAATTTTTAATGTCAGTCTCCACTGATTCTGTGCTTCCAGGTCTTTGGGAGCTTTAATGCACATCTGTTTTAAAAAAAAAGTATAAAGCCTTTAGTTTCTCCAGAGGGTGCTGTGTAGGTCTGATAACTGTCTTCAGGTGACGTCAAGTTTGAAAAGTTAAGGAGAAAAAAAAAAAAGTTATGGTGTGCTCACACCGCAAAGTTTGCACTATTTGTGTATAGAATAATGCGTGACACTGTGTTGCAAAAGCCTATCAGTGTTGAGATCCAGTAAAGATTCCCCTGATGTTACCGAGATTTAGAAATAGAGGATGAAATTATTGATGTCTGACGTCGTTTCCACTTACCTATGTGACTGGTGTCTGTAGCTCCGTAAATATATGGATGATGCCTCTAGTGTCCAATGCAAGGAAGTGCATTTCTTTATTGATGTAAAGAAACCTGATAGAAACTACCTGTAGCCATCGGGGAGAGGCTAATTTTGTCCGTTTTTCACTACCCGGTAGTTTGGAATATGTGCTTGGAACATTATTGGGACAGAAACAGGACCAATACTGCATGGCAACAAATAAGTGAGTATGTTGGCCTGCCAGGTACGTAGCATGATTTGTGACGTATTTCATTGAAAAAAGACGTGTAAATAACTTCTGACTGACTTATCTCGGTATACATACATAAGTGCAAACAAAGTGTCAAGATTGGTACTGTACAGACACAGAACAGGGTGAGGGCTTGCAGATTTGTGAGCGAAGCCACAGGACTAAATGGTAAGTTCTGAAAATGTGTGCACTCTGTGTGCAAAATGTTCTAATTTAAGTTGTTTATTTTACAATGGCAAGTAAACGACAGAAGGAGTGAAGTTGTAATGCGCTGCCATGGACAGTATAAAAAATGATAAAGAGTGTTGCTGTCTTGGTTCATACTGATTCAGAGCACAAAGCCTCCATGTTCACTTCACTTCTTCTACTTTGCTAGGACCTAAATTTACTGTTAGCTGCCATCCCCAATAAGTTAGCACAACCGTGAGCACAGCTGTTAATTGCAAATATTTGGCAGTTGTCAAATATTCCAAAAAATACACCTGTGGCTGTATTTGCACAATTAATTTATCACCTTAGAAATATAGCTTGAGTTAGATGTTTCTCTCTTAGGCTGACAGAGAAAAATTAATGCATGTCATTCTAACCTCTAGGTTTGACCACTGTAATGCTCTCTTGTTTGGTCTGCCTAAAAAGCTGTTGGCCACCTACAACTTGTGCAGCAGTCAGAATACTGACGAAGACCAGACAGAGAGCACATATAACAATTCAAAGTCATAGCATTAGCTGCCAGTTCTGTTATAGAAAATAATTTTAAGATTCTCTTGTTAGTTTTTAAATCACTAAATGGCCTGGCACCAGCTTATGGACATAGCAGGTTGCTCAGATCCTCTACTGCTGGTCTCCTGGTGGTCCCAGCGAATTCAACATATAACCATGGGGAATCAGCCACTGTGGCCAGAAGTCAATGGGACAGTCTGCCTGAGCATCAGAGTGACTCCACCTCTGTGGACATTTTTAAAAGAAGACTTATTTTTTTAGCTTGGCTTTTAATTAATGGTGCCTCGTCATTGCCTCTGTCTTTAAGTCTTTGGACTTTTCTACCTTTTTTTTTTTAAAAATTATCCCTTATATTTATTTATTTGTTGTTTCGATTTTTATTTATTTTAAACATTTGATTGTTTATTGTTGTAATTTTTAGTTACTTACTTGTTACTTTTTCTGCTCTGTTTCAATCCTGCTCTGTGAAGCACGTTGGGCTGCATGACTGCATAAAAGGTGCTCTATAAATAAAGTTTGATTTGATTTGATTTGACTCGAAGTAACATGATGCAAAAATTCACTTTGCGTTTGGTGTGAACACGCCATTAGTGAGACGTGAGGTTATCAGTACTCTGCAGTCTGCTGCTCATCTCTGCTGCAGGCTGCATTAGCTGCTACTAGCAGAACACACCTGGGTCTCTAATCAAACTGTCATCGGTCATGTTGCATTATGGGTAATCTTGACTCCAGGTTCTGACAAGGAAGAGGAACAAAAAAACAGACGATATCTCTGGTTCTGCTGCATCAAGTTTTAAATTTTTTTTTACCATCCATCATGACAGTATTATAGCAGTGTATACTGCCAACATGAGTATACAGTGACTCGTTTGTTTTATGAAACTGGGAGCAGCGGTAAACGTTCAGGAACCATCCCCACTGATTACAAACAAACTTAAAGGGATAGTTGATGTTAATGGGCAAAATGAACTTACTTGTTTCATTTAGCCTAAATTGGTTCTCAGGCTTCCTGATGAAACAAGCTGTTTGTAGCATCATCATTAGGGCCTGTACTTATATAGCACAATTGATTAGTACAGACACAACTAATTTATCTGTTAAAGGAAAGTTTTGGATTGTCCAGCTGTAGAAAAACCTCCACCTGTTTGTTTCCAGCATTTTGGAAATCAGCTCCTCACATATAAGTTGTATCTCTGATGGTGTTTGTGCACTGAGCCTTGTCTGTGCATACACTAGGTGAAGATTAGTTCCTGTATTGTAATACTATTGTAAAACTCACATTACTGTGAGAAATGAAAAGAAAGCAGCAATTTCAGATTCACTGTAAGGGAGGGCAGTTTCAATTATCTTCACAGATCGTGACCCTGAATTTCTCCTCGCACTCTTCTGATTTCAATTTGGGAGCATGTTTACGCCCGCGCCAAAATAAAATCTGCCACCACAGAGCCCCCCATCTCCCTCCATCTTATTTAAGCTCATGCTTTTGTCGTGTGAACGTCACGTCTGTGGAGGGGTCACTCCAGGTCGAGAACGCTGACGAGATTACCTCTGAGGATGTTGTGTGTGATCTGTGGTGCGACAATCAAGAGATAAAAATCGGTTAAAAAATAAAAGAAAAAAAAAATACAATGTCTGATGATTAAAAAAAAAACTCTTCTGTGTGTTGCTCCATTCTCCGTCCACCTTGTTTTCTTTCCTCCTGTATGTTTCCAGCAGCAGTGGCGGTGATGGCGGCAAATCCTATTTGCACCTAAGATGGACAGAAGAGAGAGGAGATGGGAGGGGGTACATTAAAAACTGTCAAACGTTTCCCAGCAAAAGAGAAATGTCAGTTTCACAAGAACTCGGATCATTCCCACCATAAAAAAGAGGAAATAAAACAAAGGAGAGGGGGATTAAAAAGTAATTGTTGTGCCAGGAGCCGGTGTTCCTGGTCGCCTGGTGCTGCTGGGAACTGGGACACATTGTGAAATAATGGCTTTCTCATCGACGACAGACCTGACCGGCCGGCGCTCTCTCTCCTAATCCATGTAAGAGGGAAACTGTGTTAAAGTTGTGTTTTGTGTGGGAGTGATTAAACGAGGCAGTTGCTGTGATTACACAAACAGGACAATGGATGGTAACACACACACAAACACGCAGAAACACACAGATGGATTCCCTTTGTTATTCTCAGATTCTCAAATAGAGAGAACCAGGCCATTATTCCTAATTTCCCTTTATTTATATGTACAGTACATCTTTCAGCAAGAATCCTCCCTGTTTTTCAGACATGCTGCTGTTCTAATTTGATGGAACAGTAAAGAGATGTTTAGTGAACCTTCTGGGTACCTAAAGTGGGCGTAGTTAACATTTCGCTCATAGTGCGGCCCAGTCACCTGAAGAAAATGTTGGCATTGTACGTTTCTGCAACCACAGGTACATTTTAATTCTAAAGTGATTCAGTATATGAGCTGACTTTGTCATCAGGAGACGGAGGGGATGGTGGCTGCCATGACACTGAGGCGAGACACCTGCCATGCTGCTGCATTTCCAGCAGCCTTTTAGCCACCAAGCATGAATGTTTTTTAGCAACCTGTCACTGTGTTTCCAGCCGAGGTAGTTTTTTTTTTTTAGCAATTCATCGCTGTGTTTCCTGCTAGGATAGTGCCACGAAAAGCAGCTGTCTTCTACTGAGACATAGCAGTGTTTCCAGTCAAGACAGTGTCACAAAAAGCGGCTATACTTTACATAAACATCACTGTGTGTCCAGCTGGGATAGTGCAATGAAAAGCTGCTATTTTTAACTTAGACATCGCTGTTTTTCCTGTCAGGATAGTGCCATGAAAAAAGGTAATTTTTTTTAACCAAAACATCACAGTGTTTTTCAGTCAGGATAATGCCATGAAAGGCGGCTGTTTCTAACTGAGACATTGCTGTGTTTCCTGCCGGGATAATGCCACAGATAGTGTCCATTTTTTTGCTGAGAAATCGCTGTGTTTCCTGATGGGATAGCACCATGAAAAGCAGTCTTTTTTTTTAAAAATTTTTTTAACCAAAACATCACTGTTTCCTGATGGGATAGCACCATGAAAAGCAGCTGTTTATAACTGAGACATCACTGTGTTTCCTGCCAGGACAGCACCAGGAGAAGCAGTTCTTTTTTACAGAGACATGGCAGTGTTATCAGTTGCGAAAGTGCCACAAAAAGTGGCCAATTTCACAGACATCACTGTGTTTCTTGCCAAGATAGTGCCATGAAGAGCGGCTTTTTTTTTTTTTAACCAAAAAATCACTGCATTTCCAGCCAAGATAGTGCCACAAAAGTTGCCATTTTTTACAGAGACATCACTATGTTTCCTGCTGGGATAGCGCCATGTTTCCATTCAAATTGTGCCACGAAAACCTGGTATTTTAAGCCAAAACATGTTCTCTTCTCAACTGTAACTAAGTGTTTTTTGTGCCTCAACCTAACCATACTTTATCCACATTGTTGATGAAATATGAAGAAACATAAGGTTCAAACATATCTGCTAATGTACAAATGTAACATATCCACTGTTTGCTGCAATGTACAATGCCACCATTTACTCTGACGACTGGGTAGTGTAGTGATGAGCCTCCAGGGAATGATCAGCTGAATCTGCAGCTCCTCTTGGCTTAATGGAGCTCTATAGTGGGTTTCAGCTTGTAAACATAGTGAAGCATTGATCAGTTCAAAAGACAGATATTTTCCTCAGGAGATGGTGGAGACCAAAAACAAAGACGGAGAATATTGGATTACATTCATCAGGTGGACACAAAGACCACTCTGAATCAAAGATCATGTTCCTTTGTAACACCTAAATGTGTAAATAAGCAACTGTACATCAACCTCAAAGGTCACCTGTAAGTGGACAAAATATATAGTAATTTCATCTTTACAATAAAAGCATGGAATGGTCTTCAAAGTCTGAATAAAGGCTTTAACTTTAAAAATTTGACTGCAGATAAACAAGTTCAGGAAGTGTATAAAGAAAATGTCCCTTATCTTACTAAATAAATGCCTGTATTCAAATAACAGCAGTAAATTCAGTCCTGTTTTACTTACCACTCTGCTGCTCTCAGATTCTATTCTGTAATAGAAATACTGTTTTTGTTCACTCATTATTTTCTACTTTGTGTTTTTTTTCCAATCGCTGTTAAGCTGCTTTTAATAATCTCAACACTTCCTACAGATGTTTCAAAACAAAATCAATCTTTATCCCTCTGTGGGTGAATTTCTTCCTGTTTTAATCTCGCCACGCTGTCATGGTCTATACATTCAGAAATTCTGACAACACCAAATCTGATCTTTGAATTTATCTGCAGTCGGTTTCAACTATAGTCTCATGACATCAAAAAATGCTGCCTGTTTAAGAAAAACTCTCCCTCTGAACTCTCCGTTAATATTTCAAAACTCAACTGTGATGAAATCAAGTTAAAAGAGGGAAAAAAATGAAGCATTTCTGTTCAGCTGGATGAGCTGTGAACAGCTGTTCAATCAGCTGTACAATCAGACACTGTTACACAACAGCTGACGCTCCAATATGGCCGACAGAGGGTGCGTTTCATTACCCTCACATACACAAACAGCAGATTATATACAGGATGAAGGAGCTTTACAGCCACGGAAGGAAACAGTGTTTTTACAGTTTTCCAAACTTTCAAATAACCGAAGGTAAAATTAACAAGAAATTACTTGTTTGTTGAATTTTATGTGTGAATTTATAGGCTTTTCAGACTTTTTTCAAACCATGGTCAGGTGTGTGGCTGAAGCTTTCAGCCTACTTTGCTTTCTTACAAATATTTCACAAGCTTCATATGACTCTAATTCAACTTTAAGTTAGTCGAGGCCTCAAAAACAGACATGTCTAAAAACACTGTTGCTACTGTTAGCTAGCAACCCTTGCTTCAGTGCTACCTACCCATCCACAGGCTGAAGGTCAATTGACTGATCTTGTTTTTGTTAATGCACCTCTTACAACTAAACAGGAACTCTTGGCCATCTTTCCACAATAAAGCTTTGGCTGTGTTGGGCTCCTACATTAATACACATTGTTATAAACAGTGTCTGTGTGGACAGTGTTGCCTCTAAAACCTGACACAAATATGTTTACACATCCAGAGTGGATTAATCTAGAGGTCGACAGACAAAAGGACATAAATGTCTGATGAAAGGTAACCCAACTGGCCAGCCAACAGTGGCTGATATATATATATATATATATATATATATACATACACACACACATATATATATATATATATATATAGATGTGAGGTTTTTGCTCAGTGATGCCAAAATAAATCTGCCTACCCCAGCTTTTAGTAACTACCCTCAGATTATATTTATAAACTAAACCTTAAGATAAAAGTAGACGTCACTGAAGTCACCTTATCTTATAATGACGAAAACTCTGTCTGTCTGTCTGTCTGTTCCACGTTTTTCTCCTTACTGACTTGGTCAATCCATGTGAAATTTGGCACAGTGGTAGAGGGTCATGGGAGGATGGTAATGAAGCAATATTACATCAACTGGCCAAAGGGCGGCGCTATAGCATCCAACTGAAATTGCAAACTTTGAATGAACATATCTCATGCCCTGTATGTTAGAGACATGAAACTTTGCACAGAGGTGCCTCTCCTCATGAGGAACAAATTTGCCTCAAGAACCCATAACTTCCAGTTGTACAGATTTTCCGGCATTTTGAATTTTTTGAAAAACACTTAAAATCGATCTCTTCCTCGGAATTTTGACCAGTCTGCATGAAACTCAGTGAACATAATCTAGGGACCAATATCTAAAGTTCCCTCTTGGCAAAAGTTGGTAAACTTACTAAAACTGAGCTTCTATAAGGCAATGAATATTGCAGAGGGTGTGGCTCATCACATGAAGGTGTATAACATCTCAAGGGTTTCACCGATCACCACGCAACTTTGTAGGTATATGACCACACATAATCTGAGGGGACCCCTCCATTATTGACCCCATCAAACAAAATGGGGGCGCTAGAGAGCTAATTTCTTATCTAGGCCTAACCGCCATATAGATTTTTACTAAACTTGGTAGATATGTAGAACAGGACGCCTCAAGGTGACTGGAGAAATTTAACTCTAATTGGCAAAAAAAAAAAAAAAAAGGCTAAAATGCGACCGATCGCTGTGGCTCCCCCGTGGCCCAATGTTTTTTTTTTTTGTTTTTTTTTCTTCTAATTTTTGGTATGACTAAGTCATGGTATGGTATGCTGTACATAACCACATATACTGTCAGTGTGTCATTCTGTCAGTCAGTCATTCTGTCTGTCCCTCTTTTTTCAAAACTCTGTCTGAATACATTGCTCTTCTTAATGGGTTCAGTTGACTATTTAATCTGCAATTTCCTATGACCTGTATCCCAAACACACACCATGTGAAACTGTATGTGGGCAACTGTGCACTCAATGGACATGGACTAGATGAATAAATGTGGTATGAATGCACAGGTCCTGAAGTCGGCTTATTGTTGACAGAAAGTTGTCTGGCATCATCAGTAACGCTGGGGTTGAGTGAATGTTACCAGGAGTTTCTAGACAAATTCTGCAGAAAATTAAATGGTTTTCACTCATAATTTTAGCAGGATGTTTCAACAACATGTTTACAAGTTTCAATGAAGGAAGAAAGTTTGTCCTTGTGCAAAAAGAACAAGTGTTGCAGGTCAAGAAGATTTTCAAAGAATGCCAGAACTCTGTGTGAAAGGGCACTTTAAACACT